TTTGTAAGCGGAGGAAACAACAATTTTTCGTTTCGTATCACTGCGAACGTGCAATTATCACGAAAGTTAATTTAAGTTACTGGAACGGAATGGGAATGCTTACCATTTAACACGTGAAGTTGCACGCTCGCGCTGTCCAAACTGCTCGGACTGCAGGTGTAATTGCCCGAGTCTTCCCGCCTCGCTTTATGGATTACGAGGCTGCTAACCGTGTCGTGATCGATCCTCTTCGTCTGGATGTCGATTTTGTTCAGCTGGTAGTCGAGCACACGGTCGCCCTCGTGGTACCAGAAAACGTAGAAAGGACCCTCGAGGGACTGCTTGATCACGCATCGTATCGCCACTGTGCTTCCGGTCTTCACGTACATGTCACGATCGCCTATGATCTCGATCTTTGGCACTGGAAAATCGACCGGTATTCATTTATTTACTTATTCCTCGCTCAATTGGTCTTGACAAATATCGTTCTACGCGATATCAACGAATATTTAAATCTTTGTAAAGATAAACCCTTGCCAAGGAGCTTTCGCAATCAAACGCAGATAGTATTCTTTCGGTAGTATTCAATAACATTTGAGATCTTTGATGTGGAAATGCTACTGTGTTTGTTTGAAATACAGGGAGAAAAATGAAATTCAATTTCTGGACACGAAAGGTTTTTTTAATACGATCGTGTACTTGCGTTCGAAAGGAAACTCTTTGCCAGAGATACTATGCAGAGATCGTAATTACACATTCATGCCAAATTTAAATAATACATGTAATATACACACTGTGTGTAAAGTATTTAAAGTTATAATTTTCAATGACGTTGAGCAACGAATGTGTGTGACTTAGACGCCCAGAAGAATACAAAATTTTCTCGAAAATCCACAGTCTAGTTACAATACGAGAAAGAATGGAAGCTTTGACTGCAGAAATATTTCGTTCGAATAAAGCAATGCTCGTTTCAAATCCCTGGAAATATAATCTTCTCTCCCATCGTTTCAACGTAGTAACAACGAATACATTTGTTTTCGCGATGGGAAGCTTGATTATCGCGTATTATTATCGATAATCGAGTATCGCGAAGCATGGAACATGTTAATTAGAAGAAAAATACCGAGCGTACCGTATCCGCGGCGCGTGTAATCTCTCGTTCGAATCTCTTTTGTTCTTTCAACGTATCAAAGAACATTTCTCCGTCGTGTACGAGTTGAAAGTTGAAGGCACGGCGATCGCCCGTGGCCCACACCGGCACGGAACCGGTGTTAAATGCAACGCAAGAAGGTGATCGAACAACAAAGAAAGAATTAATTACTAGATACGCGGAGCAAATTACCCGATAGCGGGCATTTTAGCGCCTCGCACGGTACGAGTTACGGCGAGGAGAGAGAATGTCTGTATTTTACGCTCGTATAATTTTTTTATCACGTCGTTGGAACACGCCGGCTCGCGAAGTATTGCCACGCCGATCGATGACAGAGCTCTTCTCTGACGACGTAAAAATAACACCAGCGCGATGGAATTGAGCGACCGATGGTCAATGGTTAATTTCTAAATGTACCGTAAATGCAACCGATGATGTGTCATTGGAAAAAGAGATGTTACATCATCCAGCGAATGAATCTTTACACTGCGATCTCACCGACGATGTTGAGCTTGATGATGTGACTCTTCTTCGGATCGGTCGAGATTTGGCACTCGTACTCGCCTTCGTCGCGTGCCTGCACGTACTTAACCTGCAGGGTCCAAGTGTCCGACGCGTCCACGAAAAGCGCCTGGAACCTTTCGTCCGGGATAAACATAGTTCTATCTACCGAGAGGATATGCGAGTCCCTTCTTCTGATCCACGACACCTTTTGTATTTTTGGGAACAAACAGATTTAGTTTAATAACAACATCATTACGACATCGTGCAGAATTATTATCGCCGTATATCAGTGCTACGGCGCAAGAATTTTGGCAGGAATTTTAAATTTTGCGGTATTAATATCTTAACTTTAACACTAGAACTACCAAAGTGGTCAAAATGATCAATTTGTAATTTCTCTCACAAATTCTGTAGTTGCA